TTTTTGATTGTGAAAAATGTAATTAATCAATATTTGCTTTTTTAATTTTTTTTTTTTTTTTTTATCGGAAGATATTTTATTCAACAATTAATTACTAAATTATAATTTAATTTTAACTTAACTATAAACATATTTTCTGCACGTCAAATATTTTCACCGTAATTCCAAAATTTGAATTCTTTATTAAAGATTTGAGTTTTTTTTTTTAGACGAAAACTTTAATTTCGAAATTACGGAAAAATTATTTGTTATCAAGAAAAAATATAACTTTATTTAAGCTATTTTTATCTGTACGATAAAAAAAAATGACTTGGTTTTGACACCTTATCATGTCACTGAATCAATCTTACGTGCAATGTCGCAGATAGCCTAACTGGTAAAGATTCGGGCGCGCGACCAGATGAACTGGGTTCGAGTCCCGGTCTAGACTGCTCGAAGTATTTTTTTTTATTTTATTGTCCGTGACAGTAGCGTAAAATCACCGTATTTCGACAGTATATTGAGCGTACGGTGTCGGTCATAACATCGTAGATTCACTTGCGTTTGCACCGTATATATTCTGTTAATTCACAGTGAATATCGTTCACAACTGTATCCGATGCAGACTGACAACTCGCTCGGTAACAACGGACTTTATACGGTGAAACGACTGTGAAACGACCGTGAAACAACCGTCAATCGACTGTGCTTTCACCGTGTTGCCGAAACCGCCAGGGTCCTGACACACTCGTGGCGGCGCGACCGCTTGACACATTTCCCATCATGCATTGCACGATTGGAATACCTTCTTATATATTATCTTACGTTGGACAATCAGAATAAAAATAATTACCTTAGCTGGATGTTTTATAAAAATTTGCGTGTCGTCCAGTCGAGCCACTCAGTTACAATGAGTCTTACCAAATTTTGCTCGTCCTTTCATGCTTCCTCTCCTTTCCCCACTACCACTACGCTAGCTTCTCCACCTTGGGGCCTTTCTTACTAGCTCTAAACGAGCTTTAGATCACAGCGCACTGTGAGCAGTCGATAAATAACTGGGTACCGAATTGAGGAATTTACCGAGTAACGATCACTCCGTTACACCATCGTTAATACTTAAAAATTAAGTCGAACAGATACTAGCACTTACCAGCTTACTGGTGTTCAAGTTCGATGGTGCCCATCGACCTAACTATCCGAAGACGAATTGTCTCAAATTGTTAGTGAAGATGGAAAATTTCCATCCACTTGAATTAGATTCATACTAGCATAATAAAGACCGAAAAGGTGATAACGAGTCAGAATAATTATAAAAAAATCACGGTTGAGAAAAATAAACACGTTTAAAATTAAAAATAATATTTTTATTCATGATGGAACTAAATTAAAGAATAAAATTAAATAATTAATGCCATATGTTAAAATTAAAAATTAAAATTTAATGGATAATTGAAAAAAAAAAAAAGAATTATAAATTAAAATTTATTTTCTAATTTATTAAAAATGCATTATAATATTCAATGCATTATTTGCAACTCTGCTTGAGAGCGCCTCGCCGCTGCACTGCTGCCATTTTTTGCCGGTAAGTCTTCTGTTTTAATATGTC